TATATCACATCAAAATTATTTTATTCAAATTATACTGTTATTAGAATGATATGTTTCAAAATTTAGGCTATATTATACAGATTTAAACCATTGGCAGATATTTGTTTGTGCATTCCTCCTGCACGGTGTCGGGCATTCCGCTGCTCAACACATCTACCAGTCAGTTATCTTGCTACGATTTATTGTGCCAATATTCTACATCTATTTGTTGATGTTCAATGGGAAATCATTATTTAAATTTATTATTTTGTAAACATGAATCGAACTGAAAAATGAGTTAATATAGACAGTTTTTCCAGATTTTTAAGACAGTTTTTTTAGACAAGATTTTCCCAATAGCCGAGTTTGCTATGGGTATGAATGATAAAGGAAAGCTTATTTTCAGGACGGAAGATCCTTGTCGATTTTCTGCACAAGACCAGGCAACAATGTTAACTGGACTTTTTATTAATTGCCAAAGTGCGCCATACTCGTCTCTCCTAAGCCGATCAGTAGAGGCTGAGCTCTTATTTCACTGATCCTGATCAGTAGGGGAGAGTGGGGCACATTCGTGCAAAAAATGGATAAATCCATATATCTGTTCGTCGGTTAGTGCCAAGATTACTTTGGTTAGTGCAATGGCAAAATTGTTGATTGCAGTATGGAAAGGAACTATTGCAGATATTTTTCCTCTTTAAAAGTTATCCTCTAAAGTTATCGCTTCCATTATAAAAAAAATGACTTTTAATAACTCTGAACGTTTGCACGAAACTGCCCCAGGTATGGGGCACATTCGTGCAAGGGGTGGGGCACTTCCGTGCACCCTGCAAAGTTCGAGGAATTACCGGGCATTGCCAGAAATTTACCAAAAGAAATTGGCAGGGGGTCCTTTCACTTGATTCCTTTCGACAAGAATGCATTGCACAACATATGTAGAAAGAATGGGCTGGCCAACAAGAATGTGCCAACTGCCGGCCATCGACCTGCCTCCGTGACCTCTCCAAGGTAACGTGAATTACTTGTCACGACGTCGCAAGCAGCCCAGACGTAGTCAGGCGAGCGTCACTACTACAGATAAAGTCATAAATCGCAAAAACGGAAAAAATATGGAGGAATGTGCCCTAGGCAGTGCGTACACGAACCTGCCCCACGACGTTATTTGTAATATATTTCAAAATTTCTTATTGAAAAAAATGACAGTTTTTCAACAAACAAGTTTGAAGCAGTTCCGGGAATAAAGTGAGCTTCTTCGCACCCAATTTTGAAAAGTTAAACCACATTTCCGAGTCAGGATGACGAAAATGGATGATATGAGAAAAGTTTGGAAAGCGCACGAATATGACAAATTTGCGTTTTTATCAAGCATGACAGCAGGTACAGTGTTGTCTTTTACAGTGAACGAAGGGCGGCAATGATAGACGTATTTTCATAATTTACCTTTAGCTCGTGCAGTCACTCGTCTTCCCATAAACTGCTAAAAACGAATGTGCCCCATGCACGAATGTGCCCCACTCTCCCCTACCGGCTTTACCCATGGAAACGGCCCCAGTCATCCGGATCAGTAGCGGCTTCACTGATCCGGATACGAATCCCTTTGCCCATGGAAACGTAGTCAATGTGCACCAACCAGTTTTCTCAGTAATTCAGCCAGCAATTCTCGTGCTGTATTCAAACTGCTAAAAAAAAAACGAACTATGAGAGGGAACTCAGAACTGGCACGGACCAGGGGAATCCGATTGACTTATTAAATCATGGCATTGTGATGGCCAAGGTCCGTGTTGAGGCGATGTGATTTCTGCCCAGTGCTCTGAATGTCAAAGTGAAGAGATTCATCCAAGCGCGGGTAAACGGCGGGAGTAACTATGACTCTCTTACACCGCCAGGCACAATCGGGTTCTGGACCTGGCGGCCAAGTTCCTCAAGGACCGCGGGGCGTCGGCGCTAATCAAGGAGCCGACGATCAACACCCCCGCGGGACTTAGAAAACCAGACCTCCTGGTCAAGATCCGAGGACAAGTGGCAGTCCTCGACGCCCAGATTGTGGCTGACAACGGCGACCTCGATGCCGCAGACCAGCGGAAGCGGGCGTACTACGACACGCCCGTCATCCGAGAGTACGCCGGCCACTTTCTGGACGTCGCGCCCGAAAGTGTCCGTTTTGGTTCAGTGACGCTCAACTGGCTTCTCCAAGGCCTCGGCCGAGACCCTGTCGGATCTTGGCCTTGGCCCCCGCCATCTCGAGCTCCTGCCCATTCGGACGCTTGAGGGCACTCACCAAGTCTACAAGATCTTCCGTAACTCCACTGCGACTGCAAGCGATGTTGAGGGAAGGAGGACTTGTAGACCGCCAATGACCCGACAAGGGATCGGGTAGGCGAAGAGACCAATCACCGACTGGACCTATGGACACCACAAGCCGTATCAAGGACCTCTCAAGGCGCGACATGGATTGGATCGTGACGACCGGCAGAGGTGTTGCGCGTTGGCGGGCGCGGGGGGCGCCGCCGACAACAAGATGACGGCGGAAGCCCGAGGCGCCCCCCGCGCTCTCTGCCCGAAGTCGTAGAGCCCCGCGACTCTAAAGAAAGGGGCAAATATGTGATAGCGCCTGCGGCGGCAAGTGTCCTGTGTCTAATGTTAATGGCGGCGCCGTATGCATGTCAGCACCCGTTTGAAAATTCTGATAAATATACTCTAAATAGCCAAATGCCTCGTCATCTAATTAGTGACGCGCATGAATGGATCAACGAGATTCCCACTGTCCCTATCTACTATCTAGCGAAACCACAGCCAAGGGAACGGGCTTGGAATCGTCAGCGGGGAAAGAAGACCCTGTTGAGCTTGACTCTAATCTGACTCTGTGAGGAGACACGGCAGGTGTAGTCTAAGTGGGAGACGCAAGTCGAATGTGAAAGACCACTGCTTTCATTGTCTCATCACTAACACAGTGATAAGGGGACTCGAGCTCTTCGGAGTTCGCGATTCTCGATTCAAGGCGCAAGGCGGCTTGTCCGTCTGGCCGACCCACGCTGAGGACACAGTCAGGTGGGGAGTTTGACGGGGGCGGTACATCTGTCAAACGATAACGCAGGTGTCCGAAGGCCAGCTGGGGCATTCCACGATAGATCGTACCACTTTTTTCCAATTTGACACCCTCATCTCTCGGAATTTGACGAAAATTGGTCTCAGGGGTAATCAGGGGCTCTGAATCTACCTGTAACAATTTCAGGCTTATCAGATAAGTATTTTTTGAGTTATGGCGTATAACATTTTTTGGATCTTGCTTTGCAGCGCTAAGTTTGGCGGGCTGTAACTCTAAGACGGATTATTCAAATGCCAAATGTTAGGTAACATTGAACTTGCAATGAAACACATATTAATATGCATTTTTGAAATTTCGAAAAATACGCTATTTTTGATATATGACATATCGAGTTTTCTTTCATTTGTATTTTTTGGGCTTTGGGACCAAATTTTTTTGAATTTTTATTTCTTTAAAAAAAATATTTAGCTCATTGTTAAGAAGTGTGCAAAAAATTAGGAAGGTGTTCTTTCTATAAATGTAGGGGAGAGTGGGGTAATTTGGCCGGTGGTGTAAATTGGCCGCCCCCACTTGTACGTCATCTGACAAAAGTGAATGAAATATTTCTAGTCTCTATTCATCCGTCATTAGTAGAACTAACCCGTCGAAAAAATATCAAAACTTTCCCCTTTGTAATTTCATTGAAAATCCATATAACGTGAATTTCATCAGAAAACGGTAACTTTTACTTCCGTTTGAAAAATCGTATAACAGGTAATATTTGGGCTGTAAGCGAATTCCGATATTGTAGCCCAATTCTTGGGGGTGTTCAGCAGATTCAAGAGAAATTTCGTATGCTTCCGTATAACCGTGACGACTTTATAGACAAAAGTTTTCAGAATGGTAATGTGGGGTAATTTGGCCGGGGCTAGCGGGGCAACTTGGCCGGTGCGCTCAGGGTCGCTATGCTGGGACGGCCGATTTGCTAAGTGCGTGGTGCCGAGCTGGTTGGGCTCACAGCCGCCGGCGGTGGCATTGCGGCACAGTCTGCCTTCAAGGAGCTGGTATACGCTCCCGGAATCTCCGCTGATTGGCTGCCGGCTCCTGGTCACATGACCTTAAGGCGAGGTCAGCTCAAGACAGAGAAGGCAATCCCCAGTCTGAAGTGAGCGGTCAGCGGGGGCCGAGGCGCTTTCTGTCTCGTTCGGTGCAGAGTTCAGGTCAGTCTCGGTATGCGGTTTTAATATCTCCTTGTAGTTAGGTGTTCTTTTTAGTATAAATTTTAATAGACATTGATCCTGATAGAATAAATGTATCAACCATGCTCTTACCTCCTAGCCAACATGTCATTTAACTACCATTCTTGCCCAATGTCCATCTTCGGTCCAGCCTCCTAAAATACCTGAATTATTGTTGTTTGCCTAGGACAGAGACTGGTAAATATTGTGAATAGGATATTTTTGCATTTATTAAAAAGTTGCAGATGTAATGTGGTTGTTGCAATTAAACATTTCACGTTTTCACTGTTCTACGCTCCGCGGGCACTACTGGTTGCGTTATAATTACATGCGTGCTATATTTCTCCCGCAGGCAAAGATGCGCACCTACACCCGGCGCGGAACTCGGACCGTGTACAGTCGCTTCCAGCTGATGAACGCGGTGGATCGGGTGCGGCATGGCGCCTTGATGAAGGACGTCTCTGCCGAAACGGGCATCCCCGTGCGGTCACTGCGTCGTCAGAAGAACAGCGGGACCACCAGAGGGCCGGGCAGAAGGAGAGTGTTCACTGCGGCGCAGGAGGCTGAGCTGACTGATTATATCGTCGCGTGCACCGACCGTTTCTACGGTCTCAGTCGCACTGAAGTCAGGAAGCTGGCGGCAGACTTCGCTCAGGTGAACGGTGTCAGCATTCCGCGAGGCTGGGCAGCTAGTGGGCTAGCTGGCACTGACTGGCTGACTGGCTTCCAGAGGCGTAACAAGCTGTCACTACGCAGCCCGGAGGCTACCTCGATGGCACGGGCCAACGGCTTCAATGCCAAGGCGGTGGACCAGTTTTTCACCAACCTCGTCACCCTGCTGGAGAAGTTCAGCTTCGGCCCCGGCCGGATCGTGAGCCTGGATGAAACTGGCATCACGAACGTCGCCGTCTGCCCCAAGGTTCTCGCGCCGACCGGCCGAAAACAGATTGGGCAGATCACTGCCGCGGAGCGCGGAACGCTGGTGACTGCGGTCGGCTGCATCGCCAACGACGGGAACACCATCCCGCCGGTCCTGCTGTTCCCGCGCCTGCGTGTGCCCGTCGATCGACTGGGCCGGGGTGCTCCACCGGGGACTCTGACGCTGAACTCGGCGACCGGTTGGATGACTGCCGAGATCTTCGCTACTGATGTCCTCCCACACGTCGTCCGCCACACGAAAGCGAGGCAGGACAACCCCATCCTCCTCTTGCTGGACAATCACGCGAGCCACGTCTCCCTGGAGGCCGTGCGATTCTGCCAAGCGAACGGGATCCACCTGCTGACGTTCCCACCGCACTGCTCGCACCGGCTCCAGCCGCTGGATGTCGCAGTGTACGGGCCGATGAAGTCCGCCTACAAACGAGCTCTGCATGACCACCAGATGACGAATCCCGGACGGCGCATCGACCTGTACCAGATGGCGGACATCTTCCGGCGCGCCTACGACTGCAGCTTCACCAGGAAGAACATCCTGAACGGGTTCGCAGCATCTGGTGTGTCGCCTTTAAACAGGGACGTCTTCGACGAGGCGGACTTCGCGCCAGCGGCGGTCTCTGTGCCGGTGTTGGTCCCGTCAGCGGGCCAGCCCGCCGTGGCAGAGCCCGAGCCGCCCGCTGCGGCTGTGGCTGTGCCTGTGCCTGCGCCAGAGCCTGACGGACCCGCTGAAGCCAGTCTGAGAAGCCCGGAGAGCATCCGACCCCTCCCGCGGCTCCAGGTCAGCGAGCGAAAAGCTGGCCGTAAAAAGGGACAGTCCAGAGTAATGACCAGCACACCAGAACGGGCAGTTCTGGAGGAGAGTCATCTTGCGCGCACAGAAAAGAACAAAAGGAAAAGAGTTCTTCAGAGTGGAGAGGGGCCGTCCAAGACGTCGAAGCGCACGGCCAGCAAACTGAAATGATGGAGGCGACTCTCGCACCACTCAACCATACCTGTGTTTGTTTCCAGAGCAATATTTGTTCACCATGTTTTTTTCAAAACTGTCTGTTTTGAAGCGTTTTGTTGCTGATGAATCGCATACAATAAAGATACGTTATAATAAAGATGTATTTGTCATTACGGCGAAAACGAGGTTATGACTAACATAAAAATTCGCGAAAGAACACCTATGAAAATGACATTGCGCAATGCAACACGACTAACTTGTTAGAGATTGCACCAAACTGAGAGTTGCATCTGCGGTTCGCGAATAAAGATCGATGATATTGTTGCGGACATGGAAAGGCTACAAGATACTTTTCCTTACCTGAAATAAAATAATTTTAATTATTTTTCTAGCAATGCCCCCTTCACTTCTAATCAGGTGCACGATTAATTTTTTATGACAAATTAATACGAATGTATGATTGAGCAGGGTGTGCAAGGAAATCGCATTGTGAGTTGCTCACGAACATGTTTAAATCACTGACAAAACCTGAGTCAAAGCCGTTCGAATTAAAGTCGGACACCGAAGCACCCTCCAAAATGTGTATAGAACACACGTCATTGCTGACACTGAAGCAGACTCTTCTGTAACATAAAATCATGACCTCAAACTAACACCGGCCAAATTGCCCCACCCCCCCGGCCAAATAACCCTGCTAGCGGGGTAATTTGGCCGCTGTGCAGACCTTTGTAATAGGTCAAAATTTCAATATAGGTAGTTACTCTATCATTTCAAGTTTACTGTCCAGGAAAGTAAAATGAATGAGACACCAGCCAGCATTGAGAAAGTGCAAAAATGTGTCGTCAATTTTAAGATATATCGCTTTCTAAAAAAAGCGGCCAAATTACCCCACTCTCCCCTATTTATTTTACGTCACGATAACGGTTTCGAATAGTGATTTTGGGAGGGGAGCTTACAAATGGCGTGGTAAAGCTGCCTAGTGACATCACGGGTTACTGAAATTTCAATTGAAGTCTTAGTCATCTGAAAAAAAAATGAAAAGAGGGTTCATCCAACCCTCTTTCCTATAAGCGCGAGAATGAAAAAGGCTGTTTGGTTCTGACATTGTTTTGGACGCCAATGACCATAGCTGTCCGAGATAAAAGTTACAGGACGCATACATGGTGTCCTCCAGAGGTCTCACAACTTATATATCTGGGAATTTTTGAAGGTAACATGAGTCACGTGACATCACTGTTATAAGTCAATAGGGAAATATAAAATATGTTATTTTGGCGCCGATAATGATCTAAAACTATCTCACGTACATGGTATCGTGATTTCATGCACTTCTTGCAAAGTCCAATGCTTCACTTTTGCATTGTTAACCGTGCGTGACGTCATTTATGACGTCACTAGGGTCGTACGAGTTTTTCGTCAATAACTCCCGATCAAATTGAGCTAGAGAGTCGGGAAAGCCACTAATGGACTCGGGAAGACCTTCCGAATCGAATGATATGCCATATGATACCCTTTGCCCAGCTTCGTGACCTGAGGGGCTCTGACCTGATCTTGACCCGAGGTCAACTACTTAAGTTGACCTCACCCTAACAAAAAGTGTACCATTCGACGTACCTGAGCTAGGCGAACACAATGATGCCAAAATCGCGGCTCTGTGGCCATTTTTTGCGAAGTTATTTACAAAAACCGAACCCGTAACTTCAGTCACTTGACCTGACCTCAGACGCTACCGGTTAACCTGAGACCTTAAAATTGGGTACCAATCGCTGCGACTTGTAACGGCACACACGTTCGTTTTTTCCGCGAGGCTCTACCTCTATTAGAAGCAAAACGGCGTGCTGGGGTCGTATCAACCCCTCCGAAACCCATTTTGTTTACGGGAAAATGAGGAACTTATAGAAAGAACACCTTTCTAATTTTTTGCATGTCGATTTGCAATGACATGAAGTTTATTTTGAAAAAATAAAAATGTGAAAAATTTTGGTCCCAAAAGCCATTAGAGGCAAATGAAAAAAGATTAAGGTTTTTGTTCAACAATCAAAATTTTTCTTCACAATTCTTAGAAAGTAATATCCATTTTTGGTTCATCGCAAGCTTCGTGTTGTTTCCTGTTTGTTGGTTGCATAACCCGTTCTTGAGTTATAGGCCATCAAACTCACCGTTACAAACCGAAGTTAAAAAAATGTAATGCAATATAACTCAAAAAGTTTTGATCTGAGAAGTCTGATATTTTGCCAGGCGTCTTTGGGGCCTATGATTACCCCTAGGACCGATTTTCATTAAAATCTGAGAGATGAGGGTGACGGGCCTGGTACGATCTATCGTGGAATGCCCCAGCTCAGAGGCGACAGAAACGCCTCTGAGCATATTATCTTTTATGTAATAACAATCCATGTAATAAGTTTTTAGTAAATAGTAAATAGGTATACTTTCACTTGTTGCTATTATTCTTGCTTAATGCTTTACCGTGCTTTGCATGATTTACTTTTACCTCCGAGTCCGGCCCTATATTTTCCACCATGGTTACCGCGCTGGCGAATGACAGTTAACCGAACCGAATGTGCGCAGAGCTGCTGAGAGAGTCTTGATGCCCAGGTGCAAATATCTCCCTAACCGAATGCCCTACGACAAGGGAGGCACAAATTCGGCGCCACAACTGCGTGTGTGGACTGATCCGCGACCGAGTTCAAAACATGGATCCGAGATCTGCCATCCTGAGCGAGCACAGGGTGCCGTGTCACGGAGAAGCACGGTACATAGAATACTAGGTAACACCGGTTTGTCCGCTCAACACGGGGCCAATGGTCACCACTTTCTTCAGCTGACGTCTGTGACCTTGAGCTGACCTAGGACGATAAACAGCTGACAATTTAGGCCATTTGGAACTCACTTGACAGCTGAAGAGCGTGATTTAAAATATAAATATTCGTCAGACACTGACAAAAGATATTATTCACCAGTCATTTTTTAAGCACATTCTGTCATAATTCTGATTAATTGATTCTGTCATAAATTAGCTAACTCCTTCTGCTCTTCCACACGGCAGAAAATGCAAGTGCAAATTCTGCAGTCTTGAAGTGAACCAAACACTTATGATACACATGGTCGTTTCTCTCAGAGCACAACGGAAACTGTGAGAAAACAAGAGAGAGTCGGACTCTAAAAATGAATGAATTTGGAAGAAAATAGCATTATTTTTTCCTGTGGAAATGTTGACTTTGAAAACATTGGCCATCAACTTTAAAATCGCCCCCAAATCTGAAAATGTGTGAATTGGCAAAACAGGCAATCTTGTTGTTTTTGCCCAAGTTTGTTCATGATTTAGAGAGATTCGATGCGAAAATGCACTGATATATACTTTTGAAAGCGAGGTCTCGATCAGTGTATTTATTTTGATTTTTGACTTAACGCTAGTCCCACTTTTCCTTCCAAGAAAATATTTTGTCAATTTTTCAATAATTCTTTTATGCGTCATTGCTTTTAAAATAAAGAGAGTCGGACCGTAATTCTTTCAAAATGACTGATCGTGCTCAATATCTATCGGAATATATCAACAGATCGGCCAGACTCATTGGCTAAATATGTTTAAATTGCATTTTTCTTACTTTCTGCAGATTTTCCTGCAAAATTTTACTGTAGTTTAAGATGCGTTTCCTGCAGATTGTGTTCACAGACCAATGGGAGACAAGTATTTCTTCATCAACAGGTTTATTCGCCATCAATTGGTCTAGCGGGTGTTTTTTGCATGCGCAGCTTATGTCACAGCTGCGTAAGAACACGTTCGCTATTAATCATAATGGATATTTCTTTTCGGGATATCAATTCAAAGGGTCAATGCAAGGTCAATGTGCTTCGTAGGATTTGTGGCGGCGGGATTATAGTCATTAACTAATTACTTGATATCAGATTTTAATGAGGAGTGGTCTAATGCCGGCACGACTGTTGACTTTCATTGTAATAGCCTGAGCTGGTTCCTGGGCCGCCTCAGATTGCAGGATGGTGTCAAGTATCTTGACCTGACAGGAAGGAGGGTACCCTGACCCCTAGCTCAATATTAATCTTAGATGAGGTACGTATATATGTCTTAGGGCTTGTTTAAGTTTTAACCTCACCTACATATTACCTAACATAACCTGAAATAACCAACATGCTAGAACCCTAATTTTGGTCAAATGCAGATGAGCAGAAAAATATTAACTTTTTGACAATTTGCCATGCCTATACCTATGTCTGGACGAGGGTTTGTTGGTTACTGTGTAGATAAACTATGGTGAAGATAAAAACATCTACCGTAGCCTTACCTTGCATACCAACCTACAACTTTTGGTAAATGTTCAGAAAGAGTCCGATTCACTTTTCAGGCATACATTTTTGTTAATTCTTACACTATTTTGATTTGACATCCTGACTGAATCCAGATATGATATTTACATGTGATGCAAATACAAAACAAAAATCAAACCTTACCTAACCCCATGTTGCATATTCATATCAACTGTAGATCAGAGTTTTTTTTTCAACAAATACCCATCTTTCATCCTTTCAGCATACCTACAACCTACTAAACAGCCTAGGTATCAACCTACCATTCATACTTTATCTACACATAGGTACATATTGATATATTGGGCAAATATGGGGTATGTTTTGTTCAGTAGGTCATAGAAGTCAGGTGCCTACATGTTATCATTTGTCATGCTTTGATTTCAGGTGGTGTCTTGTGGGCTTTATAGTGGGCTTTGTGGCCCTCTCTAAGTGCAAGGGTTAAGTGTTGATGCACATAATGCAATGTGTTTTTTTCATGGACGCAGGAACCTCACAAAGTGGAGGGGGGGGGGCAGAGAACCTCAATGTCACTTTGTGGGAACCCCAATACCCCTATGATTTATGAACAAATTCTTTGCAGTTTTGTGCTCATCTCACCTTGCCGAACCATTTCTTGCTCTTAGTTTTGAATTTAAATGAAAATAAATATTTTACTTTAAAAATTAGCTTAGCTGAAAAGTGGGGGCATGCCCCTCCCCCGCTCCTACGCCTATGTTTTTTTTTCTTAAAGGGACTATCCCACCTTTAACATGGGGTTTGAGTTGAGATAGCCAAGTTTGCGGCAAGGTTCAGAAACCACTATCTATCTAGGTTGCAAGCCCCGCG